TAAAAAGTGTACTTCATTAGCAATTACAGTAAAACAAAAGTCTAGTTGGAGCATACCGTAATCACACTACTAATATATAAAATATGGAATGCTTATATACTTAGAATACATTCTAAATATATTTTTAAATGTAATTTGATCACAGAAATGGCACACTTAATATATACTATTCAAGCATGTCTATATGACATAAATAGCCGCATACTTAAAGTATGCAAAGTATAACTAGCTGTTCAAAAAAAGCATGTTTCAGTACACTTGGTACGCTTTAAATTGTAATTTGCTACAATTTAATTACTTTTAAAATACACTAAGTACAAAATGAGTTGTTCCAAAATAACACACTTTAAGTATACTGATGATTAGCGTGGCTTCAAGTATGCTAACCTACTTAGTATATTTATTTTTCACCAGGACTCCAAATTACATCAATAATTTCCTCCATTTTTTCACAAGTCTGCAAAATTCCCACAAAGTCAACAGATCCCCACATTTCTTTCTGATTTCATTGCAAAATTTTCTCAAAGTTGGTCAAAGACATTGGGCTTAAGTGACTGCTGCCTCAGCCTTACTCGATGTCAGTGACAAAGCCACAATAAACATCATACATTAGCGCAAATATCCTAAAAATTCCTTACAAATATTTCTAAATTAGCACCACCAAATCTGGGATTTTGATTACAAAAAAAAACACAAAATAGTCACAAAATCCAATCACAGATATTTATTAATATTTTTTTACTGTTTAATGGGTTTTATTAATGCATTCTAGCACAACTAGCCCATTAAAAATATTCAGATTTTTGATATATGGCCCACAGTGAAACTGAGTTTGACGTCCCTGCTCTATTCCATCGCTTCTCAGAAACTTGTATTTAATTCCACCTCGTTTTGAAAACTAAAATGAAAAGTATCGACTGAGTCAGTACCAGCGCTTCTCCCAGCCTTGTCGCTCATCGCATAGATGTGACAACATCGCCCTCCAGTGTTTGCAGTTCGAAATTACATTTGAACCGGCGAGCGCCTCATTGTTTATTTAGGCGTCGGAAGTTGCGTCAGCTTTCTTACATTCCATGTATTATTACAACTTCATTTCAACCAATTTAAATATCCCAACAAGAATGAAAGCTGCAAAATTATTTTACTAAAAGAAAGATAATAGAAATGTAACATTTACTTTTTATTCACTTGATTCTAATATTAAAGCATACATTCCATGTTTGTTTTGTTGTTGTTGTTTGTTTTTTTGTTAAAATGTTCTCATTAATTTGAATGAACGCCCGATGCCCCCGTGTGTGTGTGCATATATGTGGGTGTGTGTCAATAGAGTCAGCGAGGAGGAGTCAGCGCGCCTCTAATGCGCACGCTCCAACAGTAAGATCCGCGCAGATGAGTGCGTGCCTTCACCTCTGAATGCTCTGCCAGAATTTGATCGAGAGGAAACCTGTTTCCATGTCACCCTCAGAGCTCCGCGTCTAGTCGGATCGGCGTAACTCTTCCTGAATGCGGACAGGATCTGCTGCTGGGTTCCTAACAGGTGTTCGCGGCGCGCCGCCCGCAGAGGGAACATGTCCAATGGGAAAGACCCAAATGCTGCGGAAAAGTAAGTTCAGACTTCACTGGAGAAGGAAATAAGAACTATTTTGGGGGGTGGGGGTGGAAAAAGTTTTGACATTTCCTGCGCTCTTGAGTTCGCTGACAGCTTTCTTGTGTTCAAGCTTTGGGAAAGACCCTCCTTTTGACGACATACAGAGACAATCATCACTGGCATCTGTGCCAGGAAACAACAGGAAAGCTTTTCCGTCCTTATGATCCTGCATACCGATTCATTAAACTATTAGAAACGAGAGAGGAAGCGGAGTTGCTGTTCCAGGAAATAAGAACTGGTTATGTGCCTTTAGTTAGTGGAGAAGAAAGTGTTTACAAAAAGGAACAAGCCGGGAAGGAAAGAGAACATTTTTGGTAGATTGATAACACTTTTGATATGAAATTAAATAAAATGGGTCAATACTAATTTAATCCTCACTGTTCATATTACTTCTTTGGTTTGTGCCCCCATGTTAAAAATACTGAAAAAAAAGAAAAAGGAATCATTTTGTAATTAAATCCCAAAACATTTGTAACACAGTTCTGATCTTTTTGAATCTGTCCTAACAAAGTGTTTTGACAACTGTTTCCCTGACAACCAAAGCTAAAGGTGTTCTTTCAAGGAAATTACAGACTTCCTCCTTATGAGAAAACAACCGTGACTTCAGTCAGAGGCTTCTTCAGATTCGCTGTAATACTGACCGCTACAGGAGCTCCTTCCTGCACACATCTGTCAGCATCAACACCAACAACCGTTTGAATAAAATGATCAAATATGAACTTCAATTTAATATTCCTCCAGAATCAATAAAGTATTTTTGAATTGAAGTGAATATCGTACGTCTGAAAGGCTAAACTAACAGTATAAATTTTTTCAATGATATTAAAGGAAAGAGTTTCTTTGACGATTGTTGTAAAAAAAATAATAAAATTATTGCTTTTGATTTAATTTATCATGCGACGAATTGATTTATTGCTTATTATGACAGCGCTGACTAAACCTGCCATCCTGCAGCTTTATTATGAGAGCATATACTGCTACACCACCGCCACCCTCCTCCCCTCCTCCCCCATCTCACTTCAGTCATATCTCTCTTGTTCATCTTTGCACCCATTTGTGCTGCAGTTCCTCTGAGATGACCCTGAAAGCGTGTCTGGATGAGTGCATGGAGGCCCTGGATCTCTTCCTTAACAACCACTTCAACGAGAGCCTGGAGAGGCTGCGGCCAAGGTAACGCTAATCCCGCTCCCCGCCTACGGTCAGGTCCCCCGTCGGCTGGCTCTCACCGTTAAAGAAAAAAAAAGCCACATCTAAACTCTGTGGTAGTGTGTTCACAGCATGATGTCAGCAAGTACTCAGCTTCTGTTGCCGACTTCAGACTCTTTCTGTCTTTTTTGTGGCGTGAGCCGTGAAACCCAGGGGCCTGGCCGACAGGCTCTAGGTCTCCAGGATATCGAGTGTTTGCTGAAGCTGACGCCCAAGGCCCGACTGACTCAACAAGGCTGCGGAGCGTCAGCTGTGCAATGCAAACACGTTGCACAAGACGGAGCAGATAGAAAGGAACAACGAAGGGAAAGATACCTGGCCTCTTATCTGGCCTCCGCAGGAAAATGCGGCCGAGCCGAGCTGAGTTTGCTCACAGCCAGAGGTGGAGGGTGTTGACCCCGTGGTCCTCTGTTGCTCCCGTTTCTTTAGAGTCCAGGAGAGCATGTACCACGCTCTGATCTACGCCACGGTGCTGGAGATGCAGGCCATGATGACCTTTCAGCACGACGACATCACCAATGCGGGGAACACCATGAAGAGCGCCCAGGAGGTCTGTCAGAGGTCAGTCTGGTTCATCCAAACACAAGCACACCGTTACAATGCCTCTTTTATTTCTCTGTTTTGCTCAATGCTGTAGCATAGAGGTGCAATTACATTTATTGCTTTGCTGTGACCGTGCATGCAAATACAAGTTTGCATGCACTGAGCCACAATTGCCCTGTTGAAATAAGTATAGATTGTTGGTTAATCGGTCTATTAGAAAAAGTAAGAAGCCACTAGCAAAAACAAAAAAAAAATACAGAGGAGCAGAGGTAAATGTTGGAGAGTCATAGAACTGTATTTAGATCGAAACTTCATCAATAATTTGTCCAGTGAGGAGAAAGAAATGTCTCACAGCTCTGAACCTGAACCTGCTTTCAAGCTGTCTTTGTCAGTTTTGATCATCTTCAGACCAGCATTCTTACCTTGAGGCACAACGGCTCCTGCACTTCCATTTCTTTACAGCTGTAGTATGTAACTTTTATATAAAAAATATATATTTTTACAGTGAGACGGATAATCCAGAAAAAACTCCTATGTCTTCTGCCAGTGCTAACAGACAGCCAATCAGAGCCAGGAGGAGAGGCTTATCGCTGTCCACCACCCTCCATGTGGCGCTGTTTATCCCTCCTCCTTTCTCTCTGCTACGCTGCAGCTAGCATAGCATGTTGTGAATGCTCAGGCTAATTAGCATAGCCACTGATGGCAACAGATAAACAGTTTTCCTGTTTCTCTGCTATTAGCATATTGAGCAGCACGTACACGAAGTTGATTGACAGCGCTAAGTCCCTCCTCTCGGCTCTGATTGGCTGTTTTTGTCCAGGAGCTTCTTAAGATGGCAATAGCAGCTGAGGGAGAAGGAGGAGAAGATTGAACTTTTCACAAATTATCTCACAACTTTAACAAATATTAAAAAAGACATTTTATGCAAGTTATACTGTACCTTTAAATGAAGCATGTGTAGAAATTGTTTTAAACTGGTTATAATTTAAGCCAATTTAAATGGCAAGTTTAAATTGGTTTAAATTTATAGCCTGTTGTCAAACAAATGATGCCATTTTAGATAGGACAAAAAAATGTTGCTGATCCCAACCTGACCCTGATTGTAATGATTGAGGGAGAATATACAAGCTCATATTTGCTTTGAATCCTTCATGATGTAACATTTCTGTACGTTGAATGTTTGCTTTTTTTCTTTTTTTACAACGTTGCAGGTTTCGACGGAAATCCCAGGGTTTGGCAAACAAGTCAGTCGGAGAGTCTCTTTCTGAAGGTAAAAGATGCAGCTGTTACACATTACTGAGGAAGATTTGTTCATCATGTTACATTCTACGTGCGACGTGGTTCGAATATTTCACGTTGTTAAAGGAGAAAATGACGGTTTTGTTGATGGAGGATGGTGTTAGAGCAGTTATTTCACATTTTGCTGGATGTGTGTGTTGGTGTGTGTTTCTGCAGTGCAGCTCCATGCGGAGGTGTGCTATGCAGAGTGCCAACTCCAAAGAGCTGCTCTCACTTTCCTCCAGGTAAAGTAAAGTTGCCTCAATTATTAAAACAGACAATAAATACAAACACGGCGACATGACAGCTGAAGTTAAAGCTAGCCGCTTCAGAAACCAAACTTAATCCTTTTACTTTCGTGTAAACGTGTGCACTTGGGTTTTATAACATTTCTCCGCTTTGTGTTCCTTCAGGATGAGAGCATGGTGAGTTTTATCAAAGGTGGGATCAAAGTAAGAAACAGTTACATGATTTACAAGTAAGTACTTATTCAAAAAAGGGAATGTTTTACTCTATATGCTTTCTAAAGTTAATTTCTGTAGTTGTTGACAAACAACAGCCATATACTTTATTGAAGACAGACGTACTAAGTATCTATTTCACCAGCATGGCTGCTGTATTGCATTATATTAGAACACTTTGAACCTTTTTCAGATTTGATCATTTTACAAGCAAAAACCAGCCATACATCAACACAAAGAGTGTAATTATAAATTGTACATAAATTTATATATTGTCTTTTTACAAATAAAAATCATTGTCCTAAATCTGACTGAGTCTGTTTGAGGATTTAGATGTACACTAATAAGATATTTAGCAAACAATATAATTTCACTTCTATCTCACAACCAAACATTAATTTGTGTTGTTTCATCACATAGAGCACGAGATAATAAAAGCTGAATGCTTTTCCACTGTTGGCTCATTTTGCGTTGAGATGTGTTTATGTTACGAATGAAGGTGAGAGGTCAGCTTCTGACCACTGCAAGCTCCTCTTCCTCTGACTGAAGATTCAGAAAAAGAAGAACTGATCTTTTTTTTCTAAAAAACAAAAAAAAAGTTTAACTATAATTCACTTCAGCTTGTTTCTGGGTCTTAGGTGTTTTTATGTGTCATTTTTTTATGCTGATTTTAATATGAAGATTTGTTTTGTAACATACATAGATGTGTGATTATTTCATTCAGATGTTTGTTGCTAAGTAGTTCCTTCACTTTTCTTTCATGACCCAGAGATCTGCACAACTTCATCAAATCTTACAGCTGCGTCAAAGGACCGAGCCACATTCACCTGGAGGGAGGCATTTCCTTCGGAGTGGGAGCGTTTAACTTGGTATGTTACAAAGTATGCACAGATAACTAAAAAATAAGAATATTGTTTTTGTTTTTCTTTTAGAACCCTCCACCATTTAAAAACAAATCTGGTCTTTAGTTGTTCTTTAAATGAAGTGCAACCTCAGATGAGAAAACAGAATGTGACATTTTCCTCTTAGGCAGCTAAGATCACCACATTTATCTGCTAGCTGATGCTAGCTCACCACATTCACTTGATTAACTAATCATTAGTTATTGATTAGTTAAATAATGATGCTCTAATCATGAAGTAATGACTAGTTAATGATGAGCCAATCATTAAGTAATGATTAGTTAACGATTTTCCACTTGTTAACTAATGATTAGTTAATCATTAACTACTCATGATTAGTTAATGATTAATTAATCAAGTTGATTATCATTAACTTGTCATTAACTAATGATTAGATGATCATGAAGTAATTATCAACACTTTGGTGTTTTGACTGTTTGTTTGTTTACATCATTCATTTGTGTATTAACATGCTGAGGTAGAAAGACCTCAATGGTCTTAGCGAAGACAATCTTGCTGCCCATCAATCTGTGAAGAGTCATAAATCCATTTCCTTGTTCGTAAGCGTATTCAGATGAAACTCTGTTTTTAAACAAACAACGATTAAGCTTTCAAAACTCCACCTTCTCTCAAACAAGCCACATTGTTTGACTAAGGAGAGATCTTCTTTGGACAGAGTAGACAAAATCAAGATGTTTGGCCATAATTCACAAATACACGTGCAAATCTGTTTGACGTTTTTAACTGCAACAATAAAGCATGAGCACATGACTCCAGGCTTGAAATATCTTCACTGACTTCCTGAATGTCCTCATGTTGATATCCTGATGAACTTTTACGACAGACAAATGAATTATTTCTGAAACTGGAAAGCTTAAATATCCGTGCTTTTTGCTGTCACTTTAAATCAATGGCAAGCAGCACTATAAAATTTTTTTGACTTTTACTACTTTTAAAAACCTACTTGCCCATCTATCCATTACACTTGGCAAAATATAAATAAATCACAACATTGCTGTAAAAATAATGAAGTAATTCCTTATCAGCTGTGTACGAGATTGTTAAACGCATGGAAATGAAAACTTTATTTTCAAGTTCGATTCTGGAAGTTTCAAATCTAACCCTCCATAAATATTTTTGATGAAATAGAGCTTCAAGGTAACACTTATGTGCTTACATGTTATTTTATCAGTCAAATCAAATCAGGGGTTTTTTTAGGTGGGGGGGGGGTGTATTCTGCCAAATTGCATCAATGTGAAAACATATTAAAGATTAATAAATTGGAAGTACTCTTCAAATGGAAAGAAAGATATAATATTTGAACAGTTTGTTAATAAGTAGTTTTATCAATATATTTCACTGGCCCTTTAAAGACTTTCATGATCAAAATTAAAGTAAGTTTGACACTCCTGTTATAAAATTTAAAATGCTGAACATAATTAATGGTCTATTAATTTTTACAAGGATTTTACGTATCCTATATATATACATATATATATATTAATGTCAATACATTTAGTCAAATCGTGCTCTTAGGCTAATCAGATTTCCTTTTCTTTCAGACGCTGTCTCTATTTCCTCCTCGTATTCTTAAAATGTTGGAGTTTGCGGGTTTCTCCGGTGACAAGGTTTGACGTTTATCATTTCTGCCATGGCTCTATTGACTCAGCAGAATCTCACAGCCTGGTAGACGTTTTCCTCATTTGTTCTGTTGTAGGAATACGGCCTGTCTCTGCTCTGTGACGGAGCCACAGGAATGAACCTGCGCTCCATGCTCTGCGCCCTGCTGCTGCTCTGCTACCACACCTTCCTCACATTTGTCCTCGGTAGTTTTTGCTGCTGGATTTGTGTGATGATTTCATTAAACATTGATGTTAATGTTAACGTTTCTGTTTGGCTTCATTTTCCTGTTTTTATCTGCTCAGGAACGGGGGAGGGAGAGGTTTCTGAGGCTGAGCGACTGCTGAAACCTTTCCGGCTCCGATACCCACGGGTAAGACTCGATGCTAAAGGATTAGCTTTTTTAAAGATCCCCAAAAACGCCTTGGCAAATTGAGTTAAAAGACAGTGATCGGTTTACCTTGAAACGTTGGACCTAAAAATTTTAAATGTTTTCCCTGTTCTGTGTTCCAATTGGAAGCTGGAAATCCAGCTATGCTAGGTGACCAGGCTAACACTAAACTCCTGGACTGGCTCCCACCTCAAGCTCTTTGAAAATGTGTGAACTATGCTTAAAAGTTGAAAATTAGCTCATTTAATTAACTCTACCACCTCTGATATCAAAAGCATTCAAATTTCTAATCAGGATTATACCTGACCTTTCTAATGCGCAGCGGAATAGACTTGTAGCCTGATGCTAATGCTAGCATGCTGAACTGTTCTCACCTCAACTCCTCCAAACATAAATTTTGTCACTATGACCTAGCAGCTCACCTCTGTCTCATGCGACCATGTTTATTTTCTCCAGAAGAAACTCTGCTTGTTCATGTGAGGCGATGCAAATTCCTGTTGGAGTAGAAGGCGCTTCTTTCTCGGTCGTCACTTTTTCATTCCATGCTGAGTGTTAGACTCACTTCACTGCTGACTGCACTGCAAGTTTTTCCAGCATCTTCCATTTTTTGAGCGGCTTATACCTTGATGGTTCCTGAACTTCCAAACCAATCTTCTTTAATTTAAGAGTTTGGGAGAGATGGTTCAGCTTAAACTCAACTGAGTGATTCGGTGATTCCGAACATCCTCAACCATTTTAAACTTTTGGGTCAGAGGGACCCAAAAGTGTTTGGTTTCCAGAGAGGAAACCAAACACTTTAGATGAACCTCTGTCAAGAAAAGACATCCAACATCCTGCCAGAGTTCTGCCTGCACCTTGCTCAAGAAACTGGAAGCACGTGGTTGAGGTGCAACTTGAAGTCACTGGGTGACATCTTCACATTTGTGCAACCATAAATGAATATGACATCCACGCCAACAATGACTTTGAGTAAACTTCGGAGCGGAGCTGTAAATTTCTTTTCACCACACTTCTGACTCTCTGGGGTTATTACAGTTGACTAAATGAACAAAACATTGAAAACTGACATTGAGAAAACATTGTTGTTGACTTAAATAAATAAAAATGGTAATTATAATGGAAAACCTCACTGGACTATATCATCCACTTATAAAACTAAGTACTGAAATTCGAGAAATAGTACACTTCATTTTTGTGTTTATGAATCCATTTTTTTTCCCCACGCATGCATCTTATGTCAGATGTCGACAAATGACGGCTCTCCGTACTCTTACGCTAGTCTGTAAAACGGCGAAAGTTGCGATAAAACACCAGTCAGATGGTTGTTCGACAAGAATTGAATCCATTTTTGATAATCTTGTCTTCTGTTGAGCATTCATTATCCAATCGATATAAACATATCTCAATACAGCTTTTGAATTCTCCACCTAAAACGTACCCTCCAAACTAAACTGAAGCTAAGCAACGTTTAGCTAATAACAAACTAAAAACTAATTGAAGCTAACTGAATTAGACAAACAAAAAGTCACAATGAAATAAAACTCAACTATAATGAAAAATCCAAAACCATTACAGATCTCTCTCTCTCTCTCTCTCTCTCTCTCTCTCTCTCTCTCTCTCTCTCTCTCTCTCTGTCTATCTTGTAAATTCACAAGTTGTTTCTCACTCCACCTTGTCTCCACCTGCCAGCCCAACCCACAGAGCAAACTGAACTGTGACGCAGTTAGTGCTGTGGCTGAGTGAAAACGTCTTGATCAAACACAGTGAAGAAAGATTGTTACATCCTTCAGGACTGATGTGAATCCAACAGTCAAACAAACCAGTAGCTACAGTTGCATCATGTGTCATTTTCCCCTCCTTCTCTTCACGCAGGGTGCAATATTCCTCTTTTTCGCCGGCAGAACGGAGGAGATTAAAGGAAACATCGATGAGGTTTGTTTCTAATTGCCCATTTTGTCAGCTGATCATACGATGTGTGAATGCAGCCCTTTCTCATGGGTTCGAACGGTAACTATGGTGATATTGCTGCCCTCCCCTATTTACCGAGGCTCAGTGTTAATGTTTAATAAGTACAGTTAGCTGCTGCTTCCTCATTGCTCTCCTTTGTGGCGCCGTCTCGCCGTGCTGCCAGGCGGTGGCGCTGTTCGAAGAAGGCTGTAAGGCCCAGCAGACGTGGAAGCAGTTCCACCACATGTGCTACTGGGAGCTGATGTGGTGCTTCACCTTCAAGCGCGCCTGGAAGATGGCCTACTTCTACGCAGACCTGCTGAGCCAGGAGAGCCGCTGGTCCAAGGTGTCCGACTCTGGACAGGAGAAGTTTCAAATGTTTGTTGTGAAATAGATTATTATATTTTAATGTTGTTTTTCCCGTGCTGCTCTTCCAGGCCATGTATGTGTACATGAAAGCTGCTTACCTCAGCATGCTGCCGGAGGAAGAGGCGCGGCCTTTTGGAGAGAACGAGGTGGAGCTCTTCAGGTCAGTGTTGTGTTTTTTTCATTTGTTGGAAAGACTGAACAGTGAGCGTACAATCAGAGAGTTCTGGGATGAAGGACATGCACTGAAATGGGAGAATTTTATTTTTTAAATAAAAAAAAAAAAAAAGTGTGGTTTGCATTTGTTTTCTACGGAACCCCATAGGAGACATGAGGAAAAAATGTGTCTTTTTTGTTACCTCAAAATCTTTCGCATTCCCTCGCAATACAGTATTTGCATACAGTCACAATTGTCAATTTAAAATTTCGAATATATACACATTTAAAGATCCTCGGTGAAAATTTGTTTATTATTATTATTATTATTATTATTATTATTATTATTATTATTATTATTATTATTATTATTGTCACCTCTTTGGTGGAAAAAACTGATGGAAAATCATTTTATTCACTGCATGTTTATGTCTGTGTAAGTTTGAGATGGAACAGCACATCACAACCAGCCTTTAACAACCAAAACTGTCAGACGATTTTATTACCCCATGATAATAACTCAGGAATAGATGAGTTGTTTCTTTCTATAAAACTTTAGATATTACACAACGAGATATTAACATACATGCAACTTACGAAAGCCTGATATTGTAGCAGAAAGAATGATGGTCACCATAAGAAACTTCCAATATTCAATTATGCTGCATGAATGGATCAGAACCTATTGTGACTAAATGCAAAAGTTTTGAAAGGTAACAGAAAAGAAAAAAAAATGCTCCATGTCCCTTAGGGGACTCCGTAGTTTTCAGCCGTCGAGTCAATTTGACCATTTTTCTCTGTAAATACTGCTGCAGTTTTAAAGTCATAATTATGACATTAGCATAATCAAAGCTATGATCATGAGAACCTGGAGAATGTCTCCTTAGATAAACAGCGTGACTTTGTATCTCAAAATGATGATCTCGAATCTTATAATTATGACCTTGAAAATCAAAATTATGATTTTTCTATCTCGTGATTAGTTTAAATCTCAAAATTATGACTTTGAATCTTGTAATCATGACTTTGCATGTCATAATTATGACTTTGAAAGTCAAAATTACGACTTCCTGTTGAGCTATCGTTTTTCTTTCATGGCAGAAAATGCCTACTATAATTTATTTTTTTTCCACCAACCTAAAGTAAAATTTCGATTCTAAATCTGTTTCAACCTCCTTCCCTTTTCTTCAGACAAGTACCAACCCTCAAGCAGAAGATAGCAGGAAAGTCTCCTCCGACCGAAAAGTTTGCAATCCGTAAAGCCCGACGCTACAAGTCTTCCAACCCGGTCAGGCTGCCGGTGCCGGTTCTGGTGAGTCAGACAGCATGAAAAGGATCAGAGAAACCCACACAGAGAGTTCTGTTTGGCTCACATCACGCCTGCGTAATCACAGGAGATGATGTACATGTGGAACGGCTTCAGCATGATCAGCAAGCGGCCAGAGCTGACCGAAGGGATGATGCAGACTCTGGTGGAGGCAGAGCGCACTCTGCTGGAATCTCCCGGTATCGCAGCCTGTCACACATCACTGGATTTTTTGTTATACAGTGTCTGGGGAGAAACTAGTTACATTTACTCAATTACATTTACTTTGATAACTTTTTGGAAAAAAAAAAAGTACTTTTAGGAGTATTTTTACTATCCTGTACTTTTTTACTTTTACTTGAGTTACTTTTTTATGAAGTATTTTTACTCTTACTTGAGTAAAATTTCTAGATTTTAACCAAAATAAAATCACCAGATGCAGACACACACCTATTAAAGGAACTGATTTGGAAAAAAAATATCTTGCCTATTTTTTATTTATTTATTTATTTATTTTACATTTTAAGAAATATCATTTTCGTCCTTAGAAAACCAAAATTTCCACTTAGCTTTATATTTTGTTGTGTCTGATGATGTAATTTTTAAATACCAAATGACAAATAAGTTGATAAGTTACTTGAGACTTTTTACCAAATACTTTTTCTAATTTCTTGTATGGCTACTTTTTACTCTTACTTGAGTAAACGTGTTAAAAGTAGTTCTGCTCTTACTTGAGTACCGTTTTTGGTTATATGTTCTCATTTATTTTGCAGAGCACGAATACCTGATGGATGACCGCTGCTTGATCCACATGCTGAAGGGTTTGTGCTTTAAGAACCAGGCGATCCTGCAGGCTGCTGAGGAATGCTTCAACAAGGTCTGCTCCAGGTGGGCTCAGTTCGGATTCTCACCGTCAGAACGAAATCTTTACAGATTATTTGATAAGAGAACTCCGAAGAAATGAAAGCAGCTTTTCCCTGCTTGAATTTTCTCACACTGTAAATATTTGCCTGGCAAATATTAGCCTGACGTCAACGTCCGACGTGGATGCTCGTGATGCTTTTAAAAGCAGCAGTGCCTTGCAAAAGCATTTCTATGTCGTGTAAGTTACTAACTTGAATTCATCTTACTGGGATTTTATGTTGATCAACTCAAAGTAGCTCATGATTGTTTTTTTTCCTCCAAGAAATAAAAATCTGTAAAGTGTGTCTCTATCAGGTTTATGTCTGGCGTTTGCCTTCATACGCAATTCTGCTCTATTCTAATGTCACTTCTCTGCTCCGTCTGGAATTTCTCCCGTTGATGTAGATCCTCTGGTATAATTTCAACCGGGCCAATCAGCGAACAGAAGAAGTTGTGAACACTGATGTTGATTTTCACTTTTTTAGAATCGTGTCCTGCCTGTAGTATTAGCGACGGCAGCAGACTGAAGTGAAACCGTTCAGCTCATGTCGGCCACGCTTCCAAACACTGAATTAGCATAAACAGCCGTCTCCTTCAGCTCTGCGCTTCTCTCTTCGCAGTAAAGGACTGTTGTTTACAGCGCAGGCGATTTCTGGTTAGCTTCTTTTTAGCAATGAACTGGCCGCTGCATACGTCACAAACGTTAGCGACTGGGTAAAATTTAAACTTCAACAGAGTCAATGCCTCCACGAAGAAATCGTTTCTCAATAGCCGAGGGTTCGGATCCTCTGTACGAAGCAAACCTTAGAAAAAGAGGCTTTTTTTCTTCTAAAAACCAGACTAGACTGACTGGAAAGGGTCCCGGCACATCAAATGTTGAGTCTGGTCCCAGAATCTCAGGCAGGACTTTGACAGCTCCTGTCGTATGTTTAGGGTCATTGTCCTGCTGGAAGGCGACTCTTTGTCTTCCTATCAACTCTGACCAACTTCCTGAGCCCATAAAGTAAACAATCTACATTAAATTTTCCAGTTGTAACGTCATGAATGCAACAAAGTTCAGCGTATCTGAATGCATAAAAACTCTGCTCCCAACATAACATAACCAGTGATGTCTTTAATCCCTGTGGTCTAGAGTCTCTTGTTTACCACAGATTGTCTGTGCTGCTCTTTGTGTTTTTAGTGAAAAGAAGATTAAGTTTGACCACTACCTGGTGCCCAACGCTCTGGTGGAGCTCAGTCTGCTTTACATCAACCAAGGCAGGAGAGACGCGGCTATCAAGATACTCCATAAAGCCAAGTAAGTCAGACATCCGCAGCCTAAAATATAACATGGTTTCATGGTATTACTGTAAATATTGGACATAAGAACGTACAACAGGACGTCATTCATTTTATTTTAAACAGAAAAGCAACACTTGTCTTACTGCTGTCGAATTATCGTAACATATAGAATATTTTTGTTGCAATAATCTATATTTATTGACTATCGATGTTCTTGTATTTAGAAAACTTTCCTTTAATTAAAATTATTGGTGTCCAAATACCATATAGGGCCCGATACCAGTGTCAAATACTCGTACTCATAAAACAAGTCGATACTCCAAACCCATCTGCTCAGACGCTAAACACATTTCCTACCAGGTGGTGATGGAAATACACCAACAAGCTATTGCTGATCTAAAAAAAAAAATGGCTGTCAGATTTTTCCGTTACCATTTAAAAAAAAAATCAAACACGGAAAATATTCGGTTAAACTTTTACTGTGACTGACTGAGGAGCGACGCAGGGTGAAGCCGCAAGCGCAGCGCGCTGTGCTTGTTACAATCTAATGAACATCTCCATCTTATTTCCTTCAACAGAATAAGCTACCTACTCCTCTATTTAAAATGACATTAATTATCTGTGAGTAACACTAACTTGTGCCCATCAGGACTTGCTTGTAGGAAAGCAAGGATTTCTTTTTAGAAACACAAACTAGCTCGACCTGCTCTTGTGTCCCTCAGGCACAACTACAAGGACTACTCCATGGAGTCCAGGACTCTGTTCAGGATCCACGCTGCTCTGGCCAAACTCAAGGCGGACCCTGAGGAGGAAGACAGCCAGATGTGACGGAAATGACCAGACTGCTCGTCACGGACCGTTCTAACCTGTAGTTTATTTACAGCAAACTTGACTTTTAAATACAACAGACAGTCGGGTTCCACTCACAAAGGTGTTTTTTGTGCCGTCACTGTGATTTAAAGAGGAGTGCTGCTCAGACAGACAGCAGCAGAGCTGGGATTTTCACTACCTGCCACAGGCGAACACACACCTGAGTGTACATATGCAAGTTATTTTATTTAACGGAGGAGGTTTTACGGTTTATAATGACACTGAATCTTCACTAATTGAACTTATTTTAGAAGAGTTAAGCACATTGTAAGATTTATTCAAACGTATGGTTGTGCTGTGTTCTTCTTGAAGAGAAGGGAAAAATCAGTGGGGAACATCCGCTTCTGTAAACTGTACTAGGTACCATTAAAGTGACGATGTGTCATTTTTAATAGTGTGATGCATTGTGGGAAACTGTTGGTCACTCATACACCTTAATAAAATACAGTGCAAACATGTGGAAGAAGGTTTCCTCTGATCAGATGAGAACAAAATCAAACATTTTGACCACTGGTCGTTCGTAGAGACGTTTCCTACAGAGCAGCTCCAATTGATGGCTCTATCAAATATTGACTCAAGAGTATGAAAACAAATCCAACCCATATATTTTAGATGTTTTTAAAGACAAAAAAAATCCTCCTACTTCACAAGGATGCAAAAATCTGAAGGTTGTCAGAAAATGTGATAAAGCTTTAAGTTAGAATACTGTCCTAAAACCATCAGTAAGTTTTAGATTTATTAGAATATCTGACATGCTGTGAGTTAGCTTGTTGTTGTTATCTCCTTTCTTTAAAGTTCAAATAAAGTGGTGTTTTGGAAAAAGTATATTTTATTCTAAAGTCTGTACACATGAGAAGATGGTGAAAATACATAGAAACAGAAAAAGTTATTTTCCATCGCTAAAGAAGGACTGCACTGGCTTATAAAGTCCAATTTCCAGCGCAATAAATACAAACGTAGCAACATGTCGCCAGTTTATTATATACATTTGTAAAAACACAATTCCTGCCATAATGGATTAAACCAGATTTGAGTTTTTTGTTGTTTCTACCTTAAAAACTGACAGCATGTTGCTAAAAACTCCAGTTCTAGGGCTGGGCAGCAGGGGGCGCTGCAGCCTGCGCCTCCTTCTGTCTGCGCTTCAGCAGTTTCCGTTTCTTCTTCTCTTCCTTCTCTATCTCGGCGACCATCTCCAGGAACTTGGGGCTGCGGGGGTCCACTTTGTACCCGAAGCGCTCCTGCGCCTCGGCCAGCAGCTTGGCTTTCCGCTCCTTCTCCTCCTTCAGTTTCTGCTTGGCCTCGCGCTTTTCCCTGCGCCAGTCTTCCACCATCTTGGGCATCTTGGCCATGTTCGCCGCTATGAGCTTCTCCCTGTGGCGAAGAGATGAAAGAAATCAGCCTGTGCCGCCCAATAAACACAGCTGGAGCTAACATCAGAGCTAGAGCGGACTTTTTTTTAATTTTCCGTTAAATCTTCAATCACATAACACTGACAAAACATATTACATTTAAATTATATTTGACTTTTCATTTTTGTCACATTACAACAAACGTCAATGGAAGGATTGGTTTTATTTTTATAATTACAAATATCTGAAAACTGTGGTGCATATTGGTCAACACCATGATGCTGCCACCACCGTGCTTCCCCAGAACCTTACAGTTTCCATTTCCAGTTTCAAACGATAAATTTAAAAAATGCACTGAGAGACACCATAGATAAATGTGTCAAATATCTCAAAAGAGATTAAAATGCTTACCATGAACAATGCTGATTGGTTTTTCCAACTCCACAGGGTCTGATTACTAATCCAGGATACAGATTAATGCAATTTTTCTGCTGTTTTATTTGATTTAATTATTGTATTTACTTATTAACTGATATTTCACATTTTACACAGTGTCCTGAAATAAAAGTAAAAGTTCGGGTTTTATGAATGACAAAAAAATGCTAAGTACAGACAAATTATACTTAATTACAGTAATGCGAGTAAATATAACTTGTTACTCTCCACTCCATATTCAAGCTTATGATTGTAACATGAAGGGTGGAAAGATTCATGGGGTACGAATAGTTTGCAACGCAAAGTATTCGTACTTTGCGTACGAATATGAAACTTCATAATGTGAAGTTTCCGTAAAGATACAGGAGAGAAACTGACCAATCAGAGCAGTTGCATTGTGACTTACTTCGCGAGCCGCTTCTCGGTTTCCTCCTGCTGTCTAGCCTCTATCTTCTTCAGCATGACTTCCAAAGGTGGGTGCCACTCTTTTTCCTCCGCTATAATCTTCTCCAGCTCCTCGGAAGACGGCCACAGAGACGCGGGGGGGATGCCCGAGGCTGAGCCGTAACGGCCGAACAGCTTCCTGTCATACCGAGACGTCTTTTGCCACTCCGGGGTTTTGTCGCTCTCCTTGTCGGGGATGTAGGGATCCCGGAGGTTCAGCCACAGCCGTTTGGGGTTGTAGCTTGCAGTCTGCAACACAAACCCACAGCGACAGTTCACAGGAAGGATGGCTTTGGACAGGGAAGCTCCCTTTAAAGTCCCACATAACGCTGCCGTCCTCTGAACCAGCATGGACGCCGCCATCTTTTCTTCTGTTTGCTTCTTCTGGTTCCGAAACGCTTGACATTTAGTTTTTTTTGTATGTATTTTGCCGCCGCCTAGTGGACTGGAGCAAGATGGCGCAAACTGCTTGGAATAATATTACAAGAAAAAAAACGAATGACGTTTCTTTTAGGCCGATAGAGGATGAAAAACCTAGTTTCTGGGTTGCTTTACATAAATAAATAAAACATAACTCATAAAACATAGTGTTATGATGCATTTTCTTTAATTGTAAATGCATCATAACTATAAAATAACTATTATTATTATTATTATTATTATTTTATTATTAATAAGATAGATAGATAGATAGATAGATAGATAGATAGATAGATAGATAGATAGATAGATAGATAGATAGATAGATAGATAAGCAGTTCTTTGCTAAAAACGATGAACGCTGAACACAGCTAGCTTGCGCTAACATCTTCTGGGGTAAACCTAAGTAAACAAACCAGTTTTGTAATGTCAACTAAAGTCTTAATGATGCTCAGAGTACTTGAACATGAGTTTACCAGTTCAAATTCTTGCCTGTAAAGATTAGTTATGGCTTCTTCTACAGTCTCTTCTCTTACCAAACAAACCAAGTCACAGGTTTTGATGTTTTGTCAACATTACTCAGCAACTGTTTCAACCACATAAACTCCAAGAGCACACCAACAATGGATCCAGGGGGCCATGGAAGAACCCAGAACAACATCTGAAGCTCCACAGGCCTCACTGGCCTCAGCTGAGGTCAGAACAGTTTATGAGTCAACAATGAGAAAATGATTGGTCAAAAACTGCTTACAAGGGAGAGTAAGGGCAAAACCACTGCTGACCAAAAAGAACATATATTTGCCAAAAACAAAAAAACAAAACAAAAAATGTACGAATGAGCTCCAAAACTTTTAGGAAAAATATTAACTTTGAGTATCAATAAATGTGAAAATATGATAACATCCTGTGTGCAGTTTAACGAGACAAATCACTTCTTGATATGACTTTTTCTAAATAAGTGAATTGTGTATGTTTTTCAAGAGCAGTATTTCTGCATGGAGCAGTGATTGCTGTGCCACGCAGCCAGCCATACAGTTATCTAAAAAAAAAAAGACGTGAATAGTTTATCGTTATCACAATAGAGCCACAAAAATATTGTGAGAAAGCCTTATTATCACGATATTTATCCAAAGCAATAGATTTTCTTCTTGTTTGATATGAAACATTTCAATGTCACACAAAAAAAGCAAAAACCGAAGTAATCTGTAAAGAGGGCAAAATGTTTTTCACAATCATTTTTCTTGTTGCTTTGCTTTGTTGCACTGAGCAAACCCGCTCTCATAGAAGTAGATTTTAAAAAAATATATTATTACTATTATAACTTTCACCACCATTCCACTTTCAAACCAAAGCACAGGGGCTCCATCAGACGTTCAACGGTGCGGTTAAATTTAATTGTAAGTGCCGACGAGCTGAGCTGGAAGTAGCCGTGAGCAGGTGGGCTGCGGTCGGAGCACCGGAACAAGGGGAGGCGATCTGAAAAGCTTTTAGCGCACTGAAGCATTTGGGGGACGGAATTAAAAAAAAAAGATTTCTGTCCTCCCGAAAAATTTCTCCACCCTCTCTATCTCTCCCTCAGCTTCTACATTTGATTTCTTTGGAGGACTTTTAGACGAGAACAAATGGAGTTGCTCTGGAGTGTGGCACTTACAGAGACAGATGTCACCGCTTTTGTATCGTGGGAGCGCGCGGAGCTCTCCATCGTCATTAAAGATTTAGGGTTCCCATGGCACGAGGGTTGGTGGTAGGGGTCGGGGGGGAGAGGGGCGGCAAGCTCGAGACTGAAGGTGGGGGTGGGCATGACAGAGGCTTAATTTGGCTTAGGAGCGATCCGGTGCCAAACCGGGGCTTTAGGGATCGCGTCAACGTCAGTCACAGGCAAATGGGCTTGTTAACAGTTAGGCGATAAGGGATGGTGGCACGTTGACAGGTCTATTTCTGAGTGAGCGCGTGAGTGGGAGGGATGAGGTGTTGAGACGTGTTTAAAGGAAGTTATATAGAACACCTGAAGTGTGACTCGGTTGTGTCGCACATGTTTCTAGGTGCATTCAGCTGGCGGAGAGCACTGCGTTTGTTCCCGGTGTTCTAGTTACTGCGGTGCGGGAACCCTGCTGACAGGTTTTGGTTGCATTCATTAGGCTCAGCGCGCGAGCCAACCACAGCCACATTTTGGCCGGTACATATCGTTGATTCAAAGTTAAAAAAAAATATCTTAAAAGTTTTCTTGGATCTTATCGGTTTTTTTTTTTTTTGTTTTTTTTTTTATTAATTTGGATTTTCTCCCAATGGTACCGAAAACTGTTGGAAATGCTTTGGTTATGTAGAGAATCCTGCATGACAAGCGGTGGATGGAATTTATCTGAATTAGTTTTCTTGGTAAATGATCAACAACTGTACTTATTTATTTATTTACAACATGTTTTGGGGGAAAAAAGCAATTGGTTCAAAACGTGATAGGATGTTCCAGCAGAAATGACCAGCATGCTTTAATAAACAATAAACCAGAAATGAGCGAAAGCACTCAACTGGTTATTATTGGTCTGTCAAAAAGCTAAAATGTAATCTTTTTCTGATTCAGTTACCCGCACGATTGTTCAAACCCTCAGCAAATTTAGACTGAAAGGTATTTTTATTCATGGAAAATAGAGGCACCATATAAGGGAAAGCATTTATAACAAAAAAAAAGATCTGTTTTAATTCACATTTTTCACAAAAACAACATGACAAAGAGAAAGATATTGGTTATCCTTCTCAGTAATCAATAATAATAATAATAAACATTTATTTGCATTATTACTATCAAGCCACTTCTTATTGCAGACCTTTTTGCGTGTTTTCACTGTGAAATTTGACCGTTCATCTTTCGTGTTGAGCTCAAAGTGCCAGTATCCTAATCTTTAGTTACTTTACAAATTAACTGCAAGAGCTAACAGATTGCCATAGATACAACCTTCAGAGTGGAAGTTGTTACTGTGGGAAAAGGACTAAAAATTGGTTATTTCCAGCATCAAAACCTGCAAAAATATTCTAGAAAGTAAGCTGCTAGTTTTAAACTAGAAATAAGATTTTTACAAATAAAAGGAAGCGTAATGTAATATGACAAATTCGCTGTGTTTTATTGTTTTGTAAAGTTTAAATGTGGTGGCGCAGGGGTTGAGCACGGCCCACGTGTAGTGGTTTTAGTCCTTGACGTGGCTGTCGCAGGTTCGATTCCCAGCCTTGGCAACCTTTGCTGCATGTCTTCCCCCTTCTCTCATTGCCCACTTTCCTGTCAATTAACTATCAAATAAAGGCCACTAGAGCCAAAAAAAAGTTTAAATCTATCGGTCACTGAACAGCTGCTCGATTAGGAAAGATTGACGGTCTTTTTTTTTAATCTAACAATTAAGGGTAAAGGTTGACTAACTCAACACGTAATACAACCAAAGACTAATGTTTACAGTTAAACCACTAACAGTTATGATTGCATGTATAAGATGTGGAAAACAGTTCCAAAACTCAGCTCTGTAATCATTCTGTCGTCGTTTAGGTGCAACAACGAAAATCTGTACATTTGTAACACCAACTGCTCTCTGTCACACACAGTGTGACGTCTCCTTGGCTCCCGGTTAAGGGCTGCATGATATTTCTACTCTGATTGTAACCTACAGAGATTTTTTTTCCTTAAATAATATCTCTGTCTTTTGTTTGGAATATGAACATTGTAAGAAAACACGTGTCTCATTTCTGTGTTCAGAGATGGGATGGGGGGGATTCATATGACAAAATTAGGTTTTGTTTAGGCCATATGTCTGGTCCGATTCACCCAAATCAAAGGTGTAGAGGCTGGGATTAACGTGTTTAATGTGATTCTGCTCTAATAATGCCAAGAACTTTTAAAATCCACCGGATATCAACAAATATCTCAATATAGAAGTCTTGGACATCAACATGTTAACAACAGATCTTTTTGAACAAAGTAGCTTTTTGTTTTTTTACATTTTGACTACACTGAGATGTTGTTCGCACATGAGACACGGTGGTCTTTAACTTTTAGGACACTTTAATGTGATGCTTTTGGGCTCAGCTCATTGTCCGCTGTAACAGATGAGAGCAGAATCCGAGTTTCTTCAGACGCCATAACCCACCTAGCGCTGCTAGCTTGTTCTGGCCTTTATAGGAAACCAACCAGGCCCAGAACATCAGTCCAATCACCTGTTTTAAAATGGGACTGATAGCCATGACCTTTAGGTTAGCTGGTTTCTCTGAAATCATTTTGAGGTTTCAGAGTACGTCTGCATGACTGCCTGTCATTTGCATTTGGCGATCTGTCTGGAGTGTACTCCACCTCTCACCCAATCACTGCCAGCTCTCCTGCCACCCTGAACGGACAATTCGTGGATGAATGTTTTAATTATGGACACAAAATAAACACTACAGATGCCAAATCCCTGCTTGTGTTATCCCCATGCGGCCTAATTTAAAGTTTTCTCCTCTATTTAGAAGTCAACACAACAAAATAATAATTACTGTAGTTGTCAGTACTGACCGTTTCAGAGAGCATCCAATGTCCCGGTTTGTCAAAGAATCAAAGCATTTCTACAAGGACAGTTGTCATTATTAATTATTATTATTATTATTATTATTATTATTATTATTATTATTATTATTATTATTATTATTTACATGGCTGCACATGCACACAGTCCGGCAGAGGGAAGGTTTGTTCGCGCTCTTTCATTAAAAGCAAATTTGCCAGTTCAGCGTTACTATGCGTTGAAACTAAGAACCCATAATGGTTCCCTAACTGGGCTTAATGAGCCTGTCTTTATTGGCCCTGAACAACAGCAGAGGATTTTGCCCAGAATTGGGATCTGTAAGCATTTCTCCACAACAACAGATTCGGATCCAGATCCGTAGAAAAGTCAGCGGTGCCTTGAAGTAACGTCTCCGTTTCCTATTGCATCAGCACATGGAAGAGGTTGGGTCGGCCTCGCTGGTGGAACAAGTCCCCACAGTGCTGATGATGAATTACAGCGATCTGCCGGAACGTCACACTGAAATTAATAATCCAAAGGTAACTAC